CACCCCTAATGAGAAGATGAAATTGAGGGAATCATGGTGCCAGGCCAGCCCATGACAAAGACTCCAACTTCATAGAAGGGACTCTAGATGCAGTGGTGTGTGCCTGTGAGCCCAGGGACCACAGCAAAGTCCAGGATCACAGTTCAGGCATGCACCTGGGTGTGAAGAGAAACCCTATCCTAAAAATAATCAGTGAAACAAAGTAGAGTTGAAGGGATGTCTCAGTGGTAGGGCACTGCCTGTAAAGGATGAGAGAATTAGGTCCTGAGTTCAAACCTCCAGTACTGAATTATATATCTATGCATATAAAATATATCTATGCATTATGTATGCATGATAAATATCACCATATTTCATGGTGATAGTTTTTCAACGATTCCTGAGGAATTTGAAGACCTAGCAGCACAAGTTCTTTCTCAGGCAGGAAGACAGAGGTGAAGGTTGGGTTCCTTTGAGGAAGCAGGTAACTCTTATGACCCAATTTGACAGGGACACTGGCACCTCATTTCTCCTTTCCCATTTCCAGTGTCCACTGTGTCCTATAGACATCAAGAGGGCCCTTAGATCCTCATGTTGACCAAATCCCTCGTTTTATCAGAAAGAATCCTGAGGTGCCCGGTGATGATTCTTTTATCTCAGTTGGGCTGACCAACTGTGCATTGTCAGTCTTCACAGTTTTAAATATAATCTCTCTTACAGACAGTGATCTGTGGATAAGAAAATTGTAAATTTCAGCATTTGAATTCTGCTCGGCCGATATGAAGGTAGGTGGTAACAGCATATGGCTAATTTCATTTCATAAACCTAAAGAAAGAAAATTGTGAGTGATGAGAAATAATAGAACTCAAGTTTAATATAAAATTCATCTTATTTGACTTATGTACTTTAGAGCAGCCAAAGAATTTTCAACTCCTTCAGCTAGGAAGCAATGATTATTTTTCATTAAAAAGATTTCTTACATCTTATTCTCAGTGTGATGAACACTATTACAAGGTAGAAAAGAAAAAATATACTGCAGAGGATGTAGAGAAATTGCAATTGTCATACACTATTACTGGGACTCTAAAATGGTTCATCTACTATATAAAAATAGAAGCTCCTCAAAAAAAAAAAAGAGTAAAAATCAAATTACCCCAGCACCTTGCAATTCTGCTCCCAGGAACATAGGCAAAAGCATTGAGGGCAAGATCCCAGAGACGGGCATGTTCAGGCCCAGGGCAACACTATTCATAATGGTCAACAAACTACATATGGAAACAAACTACATCTCTACTAACAGACTGCCAAAATGGTGTGTATGTCGGTGTGTCTGTGTCTGTGTATGTGTGTGAGTGGATGAATGAAGAATATTACTCAGCCTTAAAAGTAATGAAGGGGATTTTAATACATTACAATCTTGATTACATTATATCGAAATAAGTAATAAAAAGACAAGTACTAATTATTCCATTTCTGTGAAGTATTTAGAATAGTTAAATTTATACAACGAAAGTAAAATGGAGATTTCCAGGGGCTAAGGAAGCAGGACATAAATGGACCATTTTTGTTTAGCAGGAAGAGTTTGCATTTGCAAGATGAGAACATTCTAGAGGTTGAGGTGAATTGCATGACAATGTGAATAAACTGAACTTTACTGGACTATACACGTCTATCTGATTACCAGGGCAAAGTTATATATTGCATAATTCTTACCATAATAAAAAATGGTTTAAGGAAAGGAATTTTTCAGTCAAGTCCACTAGATTTGGGGAGGTCTAGTATAATCATTTCAGAGGTCAGAATTGTGAAATCCAAAGATAAAATAGAAACATATGTGTCTCATCCTTCAGAGGCTGATCAAACGTTCTGGACTCTGTGGGGGAGGAGACCTCTTATCCATATAAGCATAGCTCAGCAAGTGCAAAGACAAAGTCAGACTCTGGAAAGCCCCTCTCAGAATGATGCAGAGCAGAATGCTCTCCAGCTAGAACTGACACATTTTTAGATCTGAATTTTATCTCATTCCTAAAACAGCAACCAATTGTTTTGCATTTAATAATTTCAACATATTCTTTTTTAAAAATGTGTTTATTTCGCATTTATAAGATTATCTCTTTGTAGCTTTGTATGTCCCTCCCCCACAGTATAACCCCTGCTTTCACTATATTTGATGTCAGTATAACTTGTAGAGGAGATGGGGAAAAACAAGTCGTTTAAGGGTACAGGTGGACCTGTTGCAACAATGAGAAGTACAAGTTGTCATGTCAAAAACAAGCTTTACAATGTTGGTGCAGGGGGGGGGGGGGGGGAGGCCGGGAGGATTGGGGGGGGGGAGGAGGCTGGGAAGGGATGTGAAGGGTAAACAAAGGAGGAGGCTGCAATGCTTGATAAGAAATGTACGCATTAACCTGCCCATGTAATTGTAACCCCTCTGTACAGTGTGTTCACAAAAAATAAATTTTTAAAAAATGTGTTTATTTAAAGTGAGATATTTAAATGCTACAATTAAGTATCTGCCGAACGTGGAGAGAAAAGGAAATAATACTCGATGAAACTTCATCCTCATCTTTGAGATTAAAAAGCACATCTAGATTTTTAGGTTTTGGTATCCTTAGAATTGCTTCTGCTCACAAATCCAATGAACAGTGTTCCTGGAATTAACAATTCATGCTGTAATCCTTCTGTCTTCCCAGGACAATGCATCACTGGAGAAAGGCCAGATCAGCCAAAAGTTAGCAATGAATCTGTGATGGGTTTGTCATTTCTGACCTATGTTTGTAACTGTTGGTTGAAGATACCTGTATACCTCTGGGTTAGATACCTCCTCTTTCACCAGCTTTCTACATTATCTTGGTGTCACTGAAGATTGCCAAGTGCTCAGATGCAAGTCAGTACACTGAGTTTGGTTCACTGGAGAAATTTCCCTTGGTGCTTCTCAATCAGGGTCTCATGTGGCCTCTTTTCTCTACAGATACTTTAGAGATAGACCCAAAGAAACATAGGTTGCATGCTTTCCCTCATTTGACATAACTAGTGTGTGCCTATAAATCTACAAGTAAACACAATGGGTGGCAAAAGACAAAAAATATTACACTTGGATATGATAAATGATACAGGTCTCTAGACATTAACACAGTGAGCCCAAAGGAGGATATTCTTAGGAGAGGATCACAAAGGTTCAACAGCTGTGTGCGTATGATCAATACTTATTGAACTCCAAGAAATGAACACAAGTGGTTTTGTTGTTTGGTTTTGTTTTCCCCTTGTTGCTGCTTTTGTTTTCTGTACCTTTTGCCTTGTTTGTAAATTTATCTGTTTGGGCGCAGGCAAAGGGGGAGCACAGAAATGGTGGGACAAAGGGTGAAAAAACGCAGCAGTGATAGTCACCAGATGCTAGGCTGAAGGGGTGAGAGAGGAAACTGGGAGAAAGCAAGGGAAGAGGCGACATTGTTCAAAAAGAAATGCACTGGGGCTGGGAAGGTGGCTCCGTGGTAGAGCGCTTGCCTTGCATGCATGAGGCTCTGGGTTCCATTCCTCAGCACCACATAAAGCAGAAAAAGCTGGAAGTAGTGCTGTGGCTCTACTGGTAGAATGCTAGCCTTGAGCTGAAGAGCTGAGGGACAGTGTCCAGGCCAGAGTTCAGGCCCAACAACTGGCAAAAAAGAAAGAAAGAAAGAAAGAAATGTACTCAATACCTGACTAATGTAAGTGTAACCCCCCTCTGTACAACACCTTTACAATAATAATTTTAAAAAAGGAAAAAAATAGTGTATGTCCAGGTATAGGAAATGGAAATTGGCATCTATCCAGGAAAAAAATTATCCTAGTACTCCAAGCTAGGCCATGCTTGAAATGTAAACTACAGAGTCTTTTAAACATTATGGGAGGGAGCCACAGAGGTTCTCTGACTCCAGGCTTAATTATACCAACAAACATTATCATGAGGTAAACAATCTCATTCTTGCTACAAGTGGCAGAGAGGAGAAATTAAAAGCAATACAATGAGTCTTTGCTTTTAAGATTATTTTTGCACATGCATGCTCATTGCTGCACATGTGCAATGGCCAAGTTATAGAAACAGCCCAGATGCCTGATAGCCGATGAGTGGATCAAAAAAAAAAAAAAATGTGGTACCAATACACAATGGAATTGCTCTCATTCATTAGAAAGAATATCGTGTCCTTTGCAGGTAAATGGATGGACTTAGGATAACTTTATTAAGTGAAGTAAGTCAAGCTCAAAGAGACAAACAACACATTTTCTCTCATATGTGGAAACTCAATCAAAAATACAAATACCCATGCAAATGCATACAGGGCTTTGCATATGCACACAAACTGACTAAAGAAAGCTTTAACTAAGATGAGACCAGAGGTGTAACTTCTCTGAATAAAAAATTAACTTACTGTTTATCAGCCCCAGCAGGAAAGTCTATGAGACTCTTATCTTCAATAAACTACTCAGAAAAAGCTGGAAGTGGTGTTATGGCTTAAGTGGTAGAGCACTAGCCTTGAGCACAAAGAGGCATCCAGTCTCTGAGTTCAAGCCCCAGAACCAGCAAAAAGAAAAAGAGAGAAAGAAAGAAAGAAAATATACAGTGTTATCTTAATCTCTAGGAGAGTCCCTCTTACTCCCTGCCAGAAGATTTACCTCTAATCCCCTTGTGATAAGCCTTGTAGAGCCTCAGTGTCTCTCTATGGACCAAGATGGCCTCAGTTACTGAGGTTATAGAGTGAGAGTACAAGCCCCACTGGTTTCCATTTTTTATCTGCAAATCAATTTTGTCTATTTTAGAACATCGTGTATAGCTATTATATAGAATCATTAGAATAGGATAGGGCTTCTTTCAAACAGTTTTAAATTTTTGACATGCATTCAAGTTTTTTTGTGAATCAATAGTTAATTCCTTTTAAATGCTCAATGACATTCCACTGTGTGACTATATTTTGTTTACCTATTCTTCCGTTGGTAATCACCTGGGCTGTTTTCATTTGGGAGATATTATGATTCAACTTACTGTATACATATACAAATCTTTTAATTTCATTTACAAAAGCACCAAGGAGCAGAATTACTGGGTCAAATGGGAGATTGTGCCATCCATCTTAGCTTTATAAGACAGACTTTTATCCAAACTGATTGTTTCATATTATATTATCACCAACAGCAGAGGAGAATTCTGTTTGTTCCATGGCTTCACCAATATTAGGGGCTGTGGATGTCTCTTTTGGTTTTTTTCTCAACCATATGAACTCCTGGAACCAAACATGAGGGAAAAAAGTCAATTTACAACTTATATCAATACCACATTTATAATAAAGGACAGAGTAAAACTGAAGAATGGGCTATAACAAGTCTTAAAATTTTCGCCATAAAGTTTTCATAGCTGCACATTACATTTATATAGTCCAAAGAGTCTTTGCAAAGGATTGTATACAGAATTACATCTTGTAACAGAGTAGTGGAAGACAGGAGAGAGAGAGAGTCAGCAATTTTTATATTCATTCATGTTGTATAAATCATCCCTACAATTCTAAAATTTCAGCAAATGACAAAAGAGACCATTTATATAATTTTTCATTTTCTTGATCAAAAATAAAGAATGCGCAATGACTATCATTGTGCTCTTTGTAAAAAGTCTTTTATTCATTCATTGTAGGTGAGTGAGGCATTATCTCTAATAATGCTGAGACATTCTCTAAGAAATGGTTCCCTCTGCTTGTTTACTATTGATTTTTTTCTAAGACACCTTTAGCTTTGGCATTTTTTTCTCAGATACAGTGTCTCTGATGTGATAAACACACAGATACTTGCAGGAATCACCCATGGGTGATCACCCCCATCCTAGTGTTTAGAGGGTTCTCAAGTTTTCAAGACAGATGCACTTACTGAAAGTATACCATCTCCTCAGCACCCTGATTCTGCAAAGATGCCATGAGGACCCTGACACGGCTTGTCTTGTTTTCAAATCATTGCCTCATATTAATCCTGTACCACAAAGAACCTTCCAGGGATCTAAGCAGCATGTCTGGACTTCACTAGTCCACTGCACCTCCTGTCAGCTCCCACCCTGGAACAGAGTAGGCCATTGCTTCCCCCCATAGGATTTTCTTTACTTATTTGTAATAAACAAATAAGAGCATTAGTACTAATAAATCTATGTCTGATCTTTCCACTACCACTCAACCCTCCAACAGCTTTATAGAACCTTACCATAGAGCAAGCTCCAAGGCCAGTGGGATGGTTCCCAGGATTCCCCTTGTCTCCCAGTCCACTGTGGGGAAACCATATCGTCCTGCTGCTCCTTCCACACAACGAAGTCACTGCTCAGTCAAGACTTCTACATCTATTCTGCATTTGCCTAGAAAGCTCTTTCCCCAGGCATCTGCCACATTGACCAAGGCATACTGTATTCATAAACTTCTTTATTGAATGGTAACTCCTTTATACAGCTACTTAAAGTAAGAGAGAGGGGGGGACAGAAGAAAGAGTGTGGAGTGAAAAAGGAGGAGAGGGGAAGGAAAAAGTAAGGGAGAGGAAAGGAGGAGAAGGGAGGGGTTACTGACGGCCTTCCTGTGGGGGCGTGACAGGGAGGCAGGAGGCGTGGCTGCTGATGGGTTTGGGGTGATAAAACATCCTAAAGCTCAATCACATGATGGTCGCAACATCTCATGAATGACAAGATCTTGAACAAATCTAAGTCAGGACCAAAAAGGTCATTGACCATTCTTTGTGCAGAACATTACCCTAAATTTCTTAATCCAGTTCATTGTACCAGGGGGCGCCTGGTAAATGGTGTTTCTGAGTAGATCTGTGAGAGTGCATCCAGGGCGATGAGCATTAGAACTGGTGGGCTTGGTAAAGCAGGTGGCTCTCCCCAAAACAGCCAGCATTTTTTTCAATTTATGAGAGCCCAAGCAAAGCCAAGGAGTGAAGGGATTTGCCCCTTTGACTTTGGGCCTTGCCTGTATGAACTGGGATATAGACTGCTTTTGGAATGACATGTACTTCCTCCTTCCCTAGTTCTCAGACCTCCACAATCACCTGCTTTCCTCTGCAGATAGAAGATCAGGGGATTTCTCTACCTCCATAACTGCAGGATATTTCTCATGAGACCACATCAAGTCTCATGCTAAATCTCACTCACTAAGGTATGCATAATCTATTCATTTTCTCCTACTTTATACATATAAGCATACATGTTCATCTTTTGTATGCATAGGTATATATTTATAGGCTTTATTAGTTATATTTCAATAGTGAGCTCTAACAAATACACTTGTAAACATGAAATAGATAACTCTAAGAATAGTTAGAAACGCGAATGATAGGAGGGGAAAGTCAGTAGCTTTTCAAAAATGAAGTATAGCAGAGCTATTCTTGGTGGCTAGAAAATAATACACTTTTGGAAGGTTGAGGTCTGTGATCTATTTACATTTATAATTACAGCTAAATATGTCTCAGCACTCAATTATTCTCTGCATTTATTTTTTTCCTAAAAAAAATAGTAAATAGCCTAAAAAAGAGTCTGGGTTTTGGTAGTACTTCATGATCCGGCATCTTTAAGCCATTGCCTTTTAGAATAAGCATTTTATCTAAGTTATACTTTAATTTTTTAATTTATTTTTGTCGGTTGTGGGGCCTGAACTCTGGTTCTGGGCACTGTCCCTCAGCTCTTCAGCTCAAGGCTAGCACTCTACCACTAGAGCTACAGCACCATTTCTGGCTTTTTTCTGCTTATGTGGTTCCGAGGAATCAAACCCAGGGCCTCATGCATGCAAGGCAAGCATTCTACCACTGAGCCACCTTCCCAGCCCTGAGTTATACTTTTAGAAAACAAAGATAATGCTTTACTGTCAAGAGTTTTTTTCAAATAATGAAGTATCCAAAGCTTAATTCCAAAAAGTAACAGGCTTTATTTTTTATAACAGAATAAGTAATTCTTTAGAGAAAATATCAATAATGGCAACATAAACATAAGAATTTTAATTTTCAAAAGTTATTGATATCTGTTAGTTCTTCTGATGATTTTTTAAACCAATCTCTGATATATTGCCAATGTCTATATACCATAGCAACATACCAAAAAGCAGAGCTGATGACTGGATCTTTAAATAATAACAACATATTTTCCTGCTTTAATCACAGAAGTCTGGAGCCGAGGATGATCTCAACCCTGCTTCAATTGATAAATGGTTTTCTATTTTTTAAAAAATGGCCATTTTCTTAATGCATAAGTATTCCTAAAGACGAAGCATCTGATTTGGCTGTGAAAGTAAAGTCTAAATGTTTGATGGACAACATTTTAGCCTGTCACAAATGCAATCAAAGCCTCACATACTTTGTTAACTTCAGCTTCTATTTCTCTGTGCTTATTAACAAAGTTTCATATCAGCTCACATAATTCAAACTGCAAGAAATTTCAGAAAAAGGTAGAGCAGAAGTTAACCAAAAGCTAATCCTTTTTACTGAGTTGTCATCTCGACACCTCCACTTCAATGTATGGAACAGCTCTGCATCAGATGACTCCACTACACTGAGAAGCCATTGCGGCAAACTGTGAATCAGTTACATCTCAGTCCACCAACATGGCAATAGAATTGAAGAGTGGAAGAGGCATGCTAACTATTTTAGGACCTCCAGCCCAGCTACTTAGCAGGGAACACATACATGCCAAAAACCACAGTGTTTGAATGTTTGACTCTTTGGTGAAGCAATCCTTGAAAAGTCAAGTATTCCCATCATTTGCATGACTGACACAGAAGAACCGGACACAGAACAATTTACAGGAACACTAATGATCCCTTTGAATAACTAAAATGAGCAGGCATTTCTAGTATTTGTTCTACTGGCAGAATATTTGCTATTTATTCTTTAAATGTGCAAATAAAACTGTTACTCATTTCTTCCTTTGACAAACACACAGCAGCAGGTATGGAGAACAAAGAATGTTCTTTATTCTAATACAACAGCAGCGATCAAGTAGCAAAGTTTGTTTTGAGCAGTCCTAGTAGTAACTAATGAAAGAACAAACAACCATAGCTCATTTCTTCTTTTCTTTGGATTAAGAATTCCACACCACTGCAGAAGTTGAATCACAAAGTTCAGTCTGTTAATTCATCTTCAGATAAATCCAAAGGTATCTTGCCACCTAAAATCATAAGAGATGGCTAAATAAATATTTCTTGAAAATAAAATGTTTTCAGTCAGATACTAATGGCTCATATGGCAATCCTAGCGACTCAAGAGGTCTGGAATCTTCCAAATTTAAAGCCAGCCTGGGCATAAGTGTGTGAAACTCTATCTCCAAAAATATCAGAAAAATCAGGGCTGAAGGCATGGTTCAAGTGGGAGAGCAACAGTTGAGCGATTTAGTCAAGAAAGTGCAAGCCCTGGTATCTCCAAAATATACATTATTTTCCAATCACAAGCAATGCAGTCATCCAAGAAGCAGTATCCTTATCATAAGATCAATGCTTTCAGGTCTGTGATTAAAGACATTTTTTACTAAAATACTATCATCAGTAGGAGAAATTCTTTATAGGACATTATGTATTTATGGATTGCAAATTCACCCCACGGGAGCCCGCTTCCTCATATCTATTGCCAGTTCTGTATTACCAGCTCTAATCCATTCTCCACTCTACAACCCAAAGAATCCTCTTTAAAACTTAAGAATTTATAAGCCGAATCCCCTGTATGGTCCACAGGGCTTTCTACACTCAAGCTGAGTTTGCGATGTTTGTTATTGTTGTTGATTTTTCAGAGCGATTGTGTGCTCATCCTTTACTCCATAGAGACGGCCTCTGACCAGCCCAGAGAATGTTCTCCGTAGCAGTTTCTTCCTAATAATCACAATATCAATCACAATCCAGCTTTTCATTGTTGTATGTGTTTATTTGCTTTTTAGTTTTTTTGCCAGTTCTGGGCCTTGAACTTGGAGCCTCAGCGCTGTCCCTGAGCCTCTTTGTTCTCAAGGCTAGCACTCTACCACTTGAGCCACAACAGCACTTCTGGTTTTTTCTGCGTAGTTTATTAGAGAGTAGAGTCTCACAGACTTTCCTACCCAGCTGGCCTCAAACCATGATCCTCAGATCTCAACTTCCTGAGTAGCTAGGATTACAGGTGTGACCCACAGGAGCTTGGTTGTTTGTTTCTTTTTATTCCAGGCATGAAACCTGTCTAGATTGGTGCCTAATGCATATGTATACTGAATATATTAATGAATGAACAAAGGAGTAAATGAATAAGCTGCTATGATCTCTGTAAAGAATCCCACATGCACATTCACCAGCACACACACACACACACACACACACACACACAAACAGGTTGCCAGCACCATGTCCTTCCCAAACTATTGCATCACTGAGCTGAAAACTACTTCAACTACAACTGTTCACTTAAGGCTGAGCTTTGATTGTTCCATCAGTCAGGATTTAACAGCACTGAGAAACAGGGCCAGCGACACCCTCATCCTTGTAAAAGACAATAGTCTGAGCAGAAGCAGAAGATCTGGATTGAGTTCCTGCCTTTGGGCAGCCAAATGGGAAAGATGAGCACAAGGACATAAAAATTTTAAAGAACAGGCATTCAGCCCTAAAGTGGCTTAATTACTCTGTGCACATTCTACGGAATATAGCTTTCATCTTGGCTACCATAATTTGAAGACTTATGATGAGAGACAATCTCCAAGACTCCATATGTAGCCACCATGGATGCCTTCACAAGTCATTTATTTGGCACAGCATCATTGGACATGCTGGAGTATCTGAGATATGGCAGATAACCCTCTAGGTTATGCAGATACAACAAAGACCAAACCTACATTCATGGTGTCTGTGCTCTAGTGGAGGAGGTATACAATGAACGAAGAAACAAATCCCTAACTGCTCAGGAGGCTGAGACCTGAGGATCACAGTTCAAAGCCATCGAGGCAGGAAAGTTCATGAGATTCTTATCTCCCAACAACCAGCAAAAATCAGAAGTGGAGTTTTGTGGTTCAAATGGTAGAGTATCAGCCTTGGGCAAAAAAAAAAAATCTAAAGAACAGTTCCCTACCCCTGAGTTTAAGCCCCAGTAATGGCAAACAAAAAAAGGAAGAAAAGGGAAAAGAAAATTACAGAATGTAAAGGAGAAAAATTAAACAAGAGGAGTAAATAGGATATTTACTATCTGGTACCTTCTATTCAATAGTGAAGTTCTTTCTGAGGCATTGAACAAGGCACTGAATGTGGAGATTCAACCATGTAACCCATGTGCTTGGCTCCCATGCTACAAGGCTGGCTCAGTCATGGATGTGTCTGGGGTCTTTGTATTCGTCTGATTAGTCTGCTATACCAAAATACCAGAGTTGAAGTGGCTTCAACAATAGAAATTTTAATGTGAGATCATGATTAAAGCATTAGAATTTTTAATTTCTGGCGTGAGCTCT